GAGCTTCTCCATGCAGCAGGAGAGAGACGGGGGTGCTTGGGGCAGCAGTTAAGACCTTCAGTCCTAGATCTGCATGCCTGACTCTCCTTCCAATTCTGACTTTGTACTAATGTGCGTCCTAGAAAGCCATGAGTAACGGCCCAAGTACTTGGGTCCCTGCCTTGTGGGAGACGCGGATTTAGTTCTAAGCTCCCGGCTTTGGTCTGGCTCACACCAGGTTTTTATGAGCATTTGGGAAGTGATTCAGTAGATGGAAAAGTCATCCATATCTGTCAATCTATTGGTCTAATTCTAATCTCTCTATCTCTCTCTCTCCTTCTCAAATAAAACTTTTAAAACTTTTAAAGAATCACTGTCACCAGGATGGTTCAACAGGCTAATCCTCTGCCTGTGGTGCCAGGATCCCACATGGACACCCATTTGTGTCCCGGCTGCTCCACTTCTGCTCGCTCTCTGCTCGAAGCCTGGGAAAGCAGCAGTAGATAACCGAAGGCGTTGGGTGCCTGTACTCATGTGGGAGACCTAGAAGAAGGCCCTGGCCCCCAGTTTCACATCAGCTCAGCTCCAACCACTACGACCACTTGGCGGATGGAGATCTTTCTCTCTGTGTCTCTCCTTCTCTTGCAAATCTGCCTTTCCAATACAAATAAATAATTCTTTCAAAGAATTTTTTGGATCTTCAGAATTGGTGCACTGTTCCTCTCCCACCCCAAACCCAACCCCATCCTAGTGCCGAAGCAAGCCAGCTGAGCAGCCAAGGAGAAGCTAGGTCAGGGCATCCTGCAGAAGGCATCAAGACACCAAGAGGGTAAGTACGAGCATTTCTACAAGCGACTGACAACACCGAAGAGGGGACACTTGGGATAAGAACCACTGCAGGTGGCTCCTGCCTCAGCTGCCCACTCTGTCCTGTGGCACCAGCAGGCACCCATCCCTCACCTGGATGGCACCACTGCTCCATTCACCATTCATTGGTCAGAGGCAGCCAGCCTGGAAGCCAAGCAGCACTCAGGGCCAGCCACATGCACCCCATGTGCGTGTCATAGGACCAGTGCCCCGTGGGGTAGTCCTTGCCCCCTGAGGTCCCAGAGTCAGGAATTCTACATAGCACATCTCAGCCATCCATAAATAAGCCCAGCAAAACACTCCTGCTGGATCTGGTGCGATGGCTCAATTGAATAATCCTCCCCCTGCCAGTGCCAGGATCCCATATGGCTGCTGGTTCGTGTCCCGGCTGCTCCACTGCCAATCCATCTCCTTGCTTCTGGCCTGGGAGGCCAACGGAGGGTGGTCCTTGGGACTCTGCACCCACATGGGAGACCCAGAAGAGGCTTCTGACTTTGGATTGGCTCAACTCCAGTCATTGGTGGCCGTTTATCTCTCCTTCTTTCTAAATCTGCCCTTCCAATAAAAATAAATGAATCTCCGGGGAAAAAAAAAAACCCTTGATGAGGCACTTTAGACCATCACAAGCCACACGGATCTTCAGGGCCTCCTCCACAAGTTCTCCCAGACACGTGGAAGAAGTGGGAGTGGCCAAGTGGTTCCTCCCCACCCCACCCAGGTGGGTGTGGCCAGGTCTCATTTGCATTCACATTCTGATGGGCTGCATTGATCCTCTTGCACTCCAGGCCACACCAGCTGTCCTGGTGCAGGAGCAGGCACCACAGTGTACCCCGAAAGGACCTGCTCCTGCTGTCCTGTCCTGTGCACTCCTGGCAGGTGTAGACAGGGTTCGTCCTTCTCAGACGAGGAGGCAGGTTCCGCTCAGTTGTGCCTCTACTCCTGACCCAGGGTCTTGGTTCCCGTTGGCCTGGAGGCCTGGTAGGAAAGGACACTGGAGGTAGAGCCCTCGGTCCTTAGGGGCCAGCCGCACGCTTGTGGCTGTGGACATGAAGCGGCCACGTACAGCTGCATTGGTTGTTAGCTTCAACTCCAGAGGAGTGGAGCCATTCATTTAGACTAGTGTGAATGACTCACCCTGGGTCTGTGCTTTCCCACACTGTGGATGCCACGTCCACATAGGTTGGGGGGGGGCAGTCATGTGTGCCTGGCTGCAGGTGTCACGGCCAGGAGTCACACGAGGTCAACAACAGGGCTGCCTGAGCAGGAGGCTGCGTACTACACATCCCAGGCCTGCTTGGCTCCTGGCCTCCCCTCTCTGTCCCTCCTCCCTGGGCCCCCAGGGGTTTGGGGTTCTGCCTCTCTCAGGAGCGGCCTCTCTCCTCCCACCCTACTGGACCTCACTGACCCCCGGGGGGCTCCTGGACAGCCTCTTTCTGGAAGAAAGTCAGGCCCCATCCTCACCCAGGAGCCTACATCCTCCCAGTCAAGATGGCAAGGACTGGCTGTTCGGGTCACAGTGGCCCTGTCCCCAGGGGAGCCCCCAACACTGCTGTCAGCTTCCCCCACACCTGCCCAGCCCTCACATCCTGTAGGAAGCCCAGTCCTCTCCTGGAGGCTGTTGCTGGAGGTAACCTCTGGGGAGCAGGTGCTGGGGAAATGACGTCAGAGGGGTCACCAGGCATGGGGGGTGGGAATGGCCACTCACACACCCTCCCAGGGTCCCTCCTTACCCAGCTACACCCTCCCCACGCAGCAGCAGGCTGGGGGCCCCAAGGCAACGTTCTCCTTCCTAGGCAGGGAGGGGAGTCCCCAGGGCCCAGGCAAGGGATGAGGCATCACTGGCTGGTGGCTCGGGTTGTTCATGACCTTACTTGCTTCTCTATGAGGCTTCTGGAATCCCAGACCTCCTGGGCAACCCAGGACTCCCCCGCCAGGGCTGGCAGCAAGGGGAGGGGGCTGCTGAGTGACGGCTGCTCCGCCCCCTTTCCTGTTTGTTCACTCGCTGCTCATTCTTCTACTTCCTTCCACAGGATGGACCTCTGATGGGCCCCAGGGGTCTCCCGGCACCATTTGGTGTGGGCGGTGCTGGCAGCAGTCGGCTTGGAGCTGCGGAGCTGCTGTGGATCTGTGTCAGAGGCTGGGGGTGCAGGGGGTGCGCATGCGTGGGCTGTGGGGGCTCGGCGTGGACAGGAGATCCCAGGCGTTCATCCACAAACCAACGAGGCCTCCAGGGCAGGAGGCTTGGCGGTGTTTGGTGCCATGCTCTTTAAGTATGTAAGACCAACACTTTAAAAAAAAAAATGATTTGTTTATTCAGAAAGCAGGGATACAGAGAGAGAGATGGAGAGCGAGATCTGTCATTCACTGGTTCACTCCCCAAATGGCTGCCACAGCCAGGGCTGGACCAGGCAGAAGCTGAGAGCCAGGAGCTTCCTCTGGGTCTCCCATGCGTGTGGCAGGAGCCCCAGGTACTTTGATTCATCCTCTGCTGCTCTCCCAGGTACTTTCACAGGGAGTTGGATCAGAAGTAGAACAGCCAGGACTTGAACCAGTGCCCATGTAGGATGCTGGCATCTCAGGTGGTGCCTAACTTGTTGCAGCATGATAACAGCCTCCCCCCCTCCCCCGCTGGGTTCTTAAGAGGCTAGAGTGTGTGGCCCATAGTTGGTGCCCATTAAATTTGCACAGGATGCATGAGTAACTAACTGAATGAATGAATGAATGTAAGAATGAGTGAACAACAAGATATCCCTTCCTCCAGAAGACCCAGGAAGCAGCCAAATATTTGGCCCAAGGTGAGGGTTCTGTCCTAGAGGAGGGGCGCTGGGGCAGTGGCAGGGAACAGCCCAGTGTTGTCAGAGTCTCCACACACCCTCGGCTGGGTGTCTCACTCCCTGGGAGGCCTGGAACTTCCCGTGCCCTCCATGACCCTCCCTGCCCTCTGCAGCTCAGTCCAAAGACAGCAGAGTGCCCCCTGTGCTGGGGTTGGGAGAGCAGGGGCCTGGGGTGGGGTACCTGCCTATCCATGGCCGTGTCAGTTGCTGAGCCTCACCTCTGTGCAACCCCACCCACTCCATGGTCGTGGTCTCAGGCAGAGACGGAACTAGCCGACTCAGCTTGGAGCACTGGGCCGTGAGCAAGGCCAATCTACACCTCCTCACCCATTCGCCTTTCCCTGGGCCAAGGCGGGTTATAAATGACTTGAATGGTTTCCCTGGGAATCCCCCTGAACACGGGGTCCCTGGTGCACCTGACAACAGCCCCAACCTCAGTACCCTCCACCATCTCCAGCGCCCTGCAGGTTCAGGTTGAGAGCTAGCCCTCCACCTTGGTGAGCAGGAGGTGCTGGGCTGAGCCCCAGTGTCACCCCAGCAGGTCTGTGGGCCTGCAAAACTGAGCTGGGCCTGCAAAACACACCTGGGGTGGAGAAGTTCCTCTCCACACTCCAGATCCACTGGGTCAGCATCCCAGGCGTTGGAATTTGCATTTTCACAGGGTTCCCACAGTGCCTGCAGTAGCCCTTCCTGGCTCTTCCTGGCTCCTAGACCAAGGCAGCAGTGCCCCCTGGTGATCACTTCTGGCACCTCCCCGGTCGGCTGTCCATCCAGACTTTTGGAAGCGCATGGAGGAGACAAGGGCTCCACGGCACCCTTTCCTCTCACCCTCTTCTTCCTCCAGGGATGGCAGAGAGAAGAGAGCAGAGAGTGGAGCAAGCCCCCCACCCCATGCCTCTGCTCTGGCCATACCCGCAGTGCACAGAGCATCTATGAGTCACACACTTCATCTTTATAAGCAATAATTCCATACATCTCATAGCGCCCTATGCCTCTGGGACAGACATACCAGCCTCCCCATGTCTGTGCCCAAAGCCGAAAGCACCCCAGTAGCAGGCCGAGTTCACCTTGCGGCTTCACTGCCTACCCGCCTTCCACCGCGGTTGTGGCCCTGCCCTCATCTGCACTCCTTCTGGGCTCTTCTGGGCTGGAAGCTGCTGGCTGACAGCGCCAGTCTGCACCTGCTTTGCACCAGAAGGGCAGAACCAGGGCCTGTGAGGTGCTGGTGGTCCAGGGCACCCAGCTGCCGTGCTCACTCCCGCCCTCTGCTGGTCACCTCTGCTCCCAGCAGCAGTAGGGTGCCCAGCCTCCCAGACCAGATTGTTACAAATCCGTTTTAATAGTCAATCTGCATATCTTGAGTGTATCTTACAGAACTGGGTACACACTGCCCCCTCCCCACTGCTCTTACAAGGTAGGGGTTCTTTCCACACCACCCCCACTCCCGGTGGGTGACGGGGGCAGGGAGGGGGCAGATTCCTCCCTCCTGCCCCGGGTAGCTGAGGAGAGTGTGGGGTCCTTATCCCAAGAACACACCCAGGGGAGGCCAGGTCCCAAGCCCCACTCCCTTGAGGTCCTGCCCCCACAGTGCGGGCCTGGGCTGGGCTGGACCACGTTGCCCCCTGCATGAGGCCTGGGCAACAGAAATTGCCCCTAAATCTCAGACTAAACCTGCTCCCCTCTTCCCACCCCCACCCTGGAATCACAATTTGAAAAACCAAAGACATGAGTGTCACAGTGGGACCAAAGTTGGGCCAGCCAGTAGCCGGTCCCCTGACAGCCCTGGAGGGCTCCTTCCCCTCCCCCTGCCCCCTTCCCAGCAGACAGCCACCCGCCGCCTGGGCACAGCCAGCCAGCACACCTGCACAGGACGCTGCAGGGGGCCTTTCCTCGGAGCCATTAGAAGCACCCTGGCGGGCAGTGAGAAGAGGGAACCAGAGCCAGAGAGGCAAGGAGAGGAGGGGCCAGGTCCTGGGAAGCCCCCAGCTTCCAGCCAGGACAGGAGAAGGCCTTAGTGGTGAAGTGGAAGGTGGGCTTGGAGGAAGAAGGGGGCCAGGGAGAACCCCCTCCTCAGGAGTCTTGAAGTTGGGGGCCAAGCAGGGAGGTGGGGACACAGCAGTCTCAGTATTTGGGGACCTTGCTGTAGTCCTCTGAATGGATGTGCCGGCACAAACACACGGACAGTAGCATCCCCAGTAGCTGTCAGCGAGAGACAGAAAGTCAGGCTGGTCTGCCCGCTCCGTGCCCCAGAATCCCCTCAGCCTCCCAACCGGGTTTGCTGTCTGGATAGAGGGAGGCCCAGAGAGGGACAGCATCTTGTCTGAGGTCACACAGCCAGAGAGCACCCTCTAGAGGCCTCTGGGAGTCACTTGTCCTGCAGGCTACAGAGCTGGGAGAACCATGGAGGGGGGGGAGGGTGCATGGGAAAGGGTGGGCAAGGTAGGGAGAGATAAGAGGGGCATCCAGGAGTGATGTGGGAGGTCAGAAGGGTGTGGGGGGATGGGGAGAAATAGGAAGGGCGTGGGGGTGGTATGGGGGGTGGGTCGGGTATGGGGAGGGGCTCACCTCAATGACAGCGACGCCCACGCACACGCCCAAAATGATGCCTAAATTCTCCTGCAGCCACGCCTGCACCTTCTCCATGCAGCCCTGCCGGGGAGAACACAGTTGCACCTGCCATGCTCGGCCCCCCGGACCCAGGGGTCACCCCAGCCCCCTCACAATGAACCACAACAGAGGGAGGGGCTGACAGTCCTGTGCCCGATGAAGGTCCCTGCCCCTTCCGCCCCACCCTCAGCAGCGGACACACCTCCTTGTACACAGGCCAGTGCTCCAGGTTGTTGCCGCTCTGGGTCGCGTTGACACCCTCGCAGAAGCCTTGCGCCACGGCCAACCCGTCGTCCTCGTCGCCCTTGTCCTCGCAGGAACAGGGGTAGGTGACCTCGGTGCGATTCATGAGCTCGGCGTTCTCAGTCCAATTGTAGAAGCTGACCCAGCCACAGCACTTCACCTGGGCGCAGCAAGGGACAGGCTGCTGGGTCCACAGCCCACTCTCCACCACATGCCTCCCCTAGCACAGGGCCTTGCCACTCCCGGGCAGCCCAGCAGGACTGGAAGGCTTGAGCATGTCAAGAATCCAGCGCTGGATTCCGATCCCAGCTCTGCCACCTGCCAGCTTTGCAGCCTCGCTCAAGCCTCTAACTTCAGTGCATTCATCTATGAAATGGCCCCATGCATAATCCTTAGAAAGCGCCTGCAGGGCTAAATGGGCTGAAGCAGGCAGGGCGCTCAGCTTGGGACTGCTGAACACACGGAGAGTCCACAGAAGCTAAGTGCCCGGCCGACTGGCCAGCAGGTGGCGCGCCAGGCATGCGCAGGGATGCTAGGCTCCTGGCTTCAGAGCCTGACATGGGCAAAAGCTCACCAGGGTGCAGGGCCGAGGAGACACCCACAGGCTCTCTCTGCACCTGGACAAGATGAGACAGCTCTCCGGGGCTCCTCAGGCATGCGTGCAGCACCCAGCTGCCACGGGTCCCGGAGCTGTGACTGATACCAGCCTGCATCTGATGCAAGGACACGCAGGGGAGAGGGTCTTGTGCCCCCTGCCACACCACAGCCACCTTACCTGAGCCTGCACGTAGTCCCAGGCCTCCTGCAGGCTGTCCTCACTGCTGGCGTTGTAGTTCTGGATGATCTTGGTCACAATGTTACCCATGTCTTGTTTCAGCTGCAGTGGGGAGGGCAAGGCCCAGGGGTCGGATCACACCTGTGGTCACACCTGTCCTCCGGCATGTCCCTCCCCACCCCTACAAACAACCCTGGGTGGGAACACACTCCCGGTGCTGGTGCATTCTACTGTGCAATCTTGACTCTTCTCGGGTACTTCCTGGGCACCCTGTCCACTCTGCTCTCCAAGCTGTGCGCCCAGCAGCTGGGCGACCCTGCACCAAAAATCTGCCCCTGGCACTGCTGACGAAGCTTCAGCATTGCCTGTTATTCTTGCGCATGCCCACTGCCCCCGCTCTTCCAGTCCTTGCTCCTTGCAGCCTGAGTGCTTGGCCACACTTCTGCCCCAGGGCCTTTGCACCTGCTGTCCCTCCCTCTCCCTCCTCCACCCTCTGCCACAGTGCACCAGTTCTTCCCCAGCCTTCCTTATCCTGCCAGAGGTGGGGGGGGGCATGGCACTTTTCCTATGGTGCCAAGACCAGTGGTCTCTCCCCTCCACAACGTCAGCGCCGTGGGGACAGGCAATAGGTGTGGTGTGTTCACTACCAAGCTCCCAAGGGCTGGCAGGAAACTGACTGAACCAGGTGTGAGAGGCGGGGGGTGGGGCACAGGCAGCCACCAGGGTTCCCGGAGTTAGTCCTTGCACAGGCCAGGGTTGCTGTGGCCTCAGCTGACAAAGAGGGTCAGACAGGGGGAGCCAGGTCCTGTTTCCTTCTTCTGGGAGGAGAGAGGCAGGGATGCATTCTCTCAGCTCAGGGCCCCAAGACTGGGAGACCTACAGGCCTGGGACACAGGTACACGCCATGGCCGCCCACTGCCCAGCCTGGCACAGCCCAGGCAGAGAGGGCCCCCCAGGGCAGATGCTGGAGGAAGTCGAGAAGTCTCCATGATGTGGCTAACCTGCTCCAGAATCCACATTGATGAGGGTGCCAGGTCTGTGCACGGCTCAGGAAGTCAGGGTCCCGGGCTGGGGTGCACAGTACAGGGAGGAGCACCTGCGTCAGTCTCCAGGGAGACACGAGGTGGGGCCCTGGGCAGTGGTGGAGGAACAAAGAAGCCGTGGCTGGGAAGATGCCGAGAGCCCACCCTGGCCTGGCTCTTCAGGCCTGGCCCGTGGACCTTGCCCAGGCGCCTCCAGGGCTCACCACAGTCACGGGTTGGGCTGCAGGGCCAAGGGACCCCAGAGGACAGGGGCACCTCATGCAAAACCATACACTCACCCCTGCCTCGTTTCCCAGAACAGGAACTGGGAAAGATGGCCCAGGGGCTTCCAGCCAGGGGTCCCCCTGGGGGGCTCCCCTCCTGGAGGGCTGTAGCCTTGGCCCCACATAACTCTGGTTAGCATCTACCCCCCACCATGGAACCAGCACCCCAAGGACCACTCTGCATGTTTCTCCCTCTGAGCAAAGCCCCAGCCTGCAACTACAGCACCTGCATAGAGTCCTACTGTCTACACAGCTTGCCTGCCCACCCTCAGCTCTTTGATTGAGCACCTGCTGTATACCGACCAAGTGATGGCGGAGACACAGCGTGCGGCTGGGCCTCAAGTTGATCCCCTGGTCCAGGGACAGAGCCTGATTTTCTCATTCCAGAGATGCAAAGACAAGGCCCAGAGGGATTGGATCATTGGCTAAAGGCCACACAGCCAACAAAGTATATGAGCTGAGGCTGACTTGGGCTCTGGCTTCTGGCTTCCACCCACCCAGTACACGCCACCAGCCTTAGGGTCCCCAGGCCCGCCTCCACAGTGGAGGCCCCAGGGGAGCTGAGCAGCTTGCCCGCTGCGGCTGCGGCTGCCACCCTGGAGATCTTGGGTTTTTCCTCCTTCCTATCCACCTCAGCTGTGGCCCTGGTCCCCAGCGAGTGGCCAGTCCCTGGGGTATGCCCAGGAGGGGTCCCCCCAGGCGTGGCAGTGTGCACAACCTTCCCCACTCACCCAGCTCCCTCGCTGTCCCCCTGCCCCAGGCTCTATTTCTGACCCAGTGTAGCTGTCACCACAACCCAGACTTCCGCTGTCCCTCACCCTGCACCCCCTCCCAAGTGAAGTGATGCAGGCGAGGTGGTTTCCACCGGTAGTTTCCACGGTAACCTCACATCCTCCTCCAGGTTGCTGAGACCCAGGCCGCGGTGGAGGCTGTTTCCACCCAGATGAAGCTGATGCCCTGGGATGCCAAGGCCTAGGGAAGCGAGCCAGTGGGTGAAAGAGCTCCGGGCAGCCAGCAGACAGAGCACAGGGTGCTACTGTGTTCGTGGGAGCCCATCTCACCCCGTGCTGTGACACAGGGGCATGCGTGCACCAGTTGTGCTGTGCTTCCTGGGTGGGACATGGGAGCAGGGTGGCAGGGCAGCTGGCACCTCCCCAGCCATACGAGCCCCCAGCCCTGGGGCCTTCTGCTCACATTCCAGGCGAAGGCCTCCTGGAGCCTCACAGTCCAGGACACCGTGTGTGTGTGTGTGTGTGTGTGTGTGTGTGTGTGTGTGTGTGTGTGTGCAGGGCGAGTGGTGGGTCCTGCCCTGGGGCACTCAGCCACCCATTACATCCCAGGGCTCTCTCAGTCCTTCTTCCTCTCACCCACTGGAGGCAGCAAGTAGGAATCTCAGCGTGTCAGAGCTGGGGATGGCCTGAGGTCACCTGCGGCTCAGAGAGGCCAGGTAACTGGTCCAAGGTCACGGAGCGACCAGTCCCAGAGCCGGCCCTAGGACACAGGGCCCATGGATCGCATACCCGCACTGTTCGTCTGCTGTCCAGAAACCAGATCAATAATCAGGTGAAAGAACAGCCTAAAAGGGCATCTGTTTCACAGCCATACCCCGGCTCCCACCAACCTTGCTGACCTAGGGGCGAACACTAACACTGATGTCAATGCTAATATAACACCACGGAGTCACCTGAGGCTGCCGGCATTCCAGCATCCCCGTTGGCCCTGAGTAGCTGGTTTGCAGGTCTCCCAGCTGGGCCTCATCTACAGGAATAGACACCAGCCTGAGGATGCTGAGTCTTCCCCTGGTCGGCAGTGGGAGGAGGAAGACACAACACATCACCCAGCCCAGCTCGGCAGGACTTTCCCCGCTGCCCTGGAAAGGGAGTGGGCGCGGCCATGGGCTGCACCCCCAAGAGATGTGCAGCCCCGGACAGGGCACAGAGTTCAGCCCAGACTCAGGGAGCATATTTGCCACACACACACACGGAAACCTCAGGGGCCCGTGATGGGTACGGAGGTTAGTGTGGGGTTGGAGGGAGGTACGGCCTCAGGTAGGCGGGTGAGTGCGCTGGGAATCTCCACTCTGACGTGGCTGAGCCATGTGTGTGGCCCTGGTGAAGAGGCATTGCGTATTTCCAGGCCTCGGATTTATGTTGTAAAAGCTGAAACGTGTGGCTGCTTTATCAGCCCCCAGATCAGTGCGATGACTCAGCTGGCTAATTCTCCCCCTTGAAGGGCCAGCAGCCCATATGGGTGCCAGTTCAGATCTGGCCGCTCCACTTCTGATCCAGCTCCCTGCTTGTGATCTGGAAAAGCAGCAAAGGAGGGCCCTAGTGCTTGGGACCCTGTACCCACATGGGAGACCCGGAAGAAGCTCCTAGCTCCTGGCTTCAGATCAGTTCAGCTCTGGCCATTGCAGCCACTTGGGGAATAAACCAGCAGACGGAAGATCTTTGTCTCTCCTTCTTGAGTAGCTCTGCCTTTCCAATAAAAAGAAATAGTTCTTAAAAAAGAAAAAAAGAAAGAAATGTTGACCAGCCCAGGGCCTGGCAACACAGTCACGCCAACACAGCCCAGCAGGTCCCAGGGGAGTCAGGGCAGGCAACTCCTTGTGAGTCACAGGGACCAGCTCACTAGCCCTGATCCTACTGCAGGGGCCCACTGGGCCCCAGAGAGGCACTGGTGCTAAAATGAAGTCCCTGGGACCCTCTTGCTGGAAGAGACGTTTCCCTCCCCTAACCACTGGCTTCCTGTCACACAGCCAGGTGACTTTCATTTCATCTGCCAAATCCACAATTTCCTCTTTTTTGTCTTGGCTACCAGGAAGCTCGGTGCCGTGTTTAACCATGTGTGGGGGGGCCATGTCTGTCCTGGTATCGATGCTAAATACACAAAGCAGATTCTGATAGATTGCCACCGCAGTGCACGTCTGCTGGCTCTGCCACCAGCCAGCGGAGAGGACTCACACAGGCCCATTCACTTCTTTGTGCCTCAGTGTGCACATCTGGGAATGGGTATGTTCTTACCCAGGGTCAGCTGGAAGCATCACACACAGCGCAGAGGGCTCTGTCTTACCGACCGCCAGGTGTCGCTGTTGCCACCGTGTTCACCCAGCTGCCTCACAAGCAGGATCTGACACGGTTCGGTGACTGAACCTAGGAGCCCATAGGGCTGTCCCCTGTGCCACCCCTCAGGTGGGCAGGCCGTGATTAGTCAGCCCTGGAGGGAAGGAGGTGGCCCAGGGCTTGGCTGAGCCATAGACCCAAGTGCAGTGGAGTCCAGAGAAGCGTGGACTCTGGCCTTGGATTCAGGGTGCCTCTGTGGCCCTCACTCCAGCCCGCAGGTGGGTGGAGCTGCTCTCAAGACCTAGCCTTGGCCTGGGCTGGGCTGGCGAAAGAACAAAGGTGAGAGGCCCACCCTGAACTTGGCAGATGGTACACACTGGACCGAGTGTCCCTGTGGTGCAGGTGGTATGGGTTCCGGTTAGCACTATTGATGATGCTACTGTCCCTGAACTCTTTGAGCACCTGCTTCTCCACCTGTCAGCATCTCCACCTGACCTGTGCTGATGTTAATGTTGATAGAGCGACTAGACGATTCCATGGGCACACAGCTATTCCATACGTGACCACCACGACAGTCACAGTCGAGTGTGAACCCCACACCCCCGTCCAGCCATCCTCCAGCATCTTTTCCTCTTGTCTTTCAAAGTTCAAATACTCTCTTCCTCAGCCTCCTTTGAAGCCACAGGTGCTTTTGTCAACCCCTTCCTGGTCACCACAGCAGGGCAGATGTTGTGCCCGGCGCTGTGGCAGCCATGTTATAACCATGAGGCGAGTGATACAGAAGAGTGTCGCCGTGAGGGCGCTGAACAGGAAGCAGGAGCTCCAGGTTTCCAAAGCAGACTTCCGATGGACGACAAAGGTCCTAGAGTACCAAGTCTGCTTTCCACTCCTGGGAGCTGAGCGCCTCCCCCTAGGACACAGGACTCAGGACTTTACTGAGTGTCCTGTTGCTAAGGTCCACTAGTAACAAGGAGAAGGGCAGGCTATTCAGGAATAGTGGCCACGCGCACCCATGAACGCACGCCCGTGCTGTGGGTCTCACTGAGATCAACTGCCCAGGCTCTTATGAGAATGATGTAAGCAGAGAGAGGCAGGCAGCAGCTTGCCCGAGGCTGTGCAGTGAGGAGGGGGGCTAGGGGAGTGAGAGTGGTAACTCCGGGCCCAGCGATGGCTCCACCCAAGGTGTCCCACCCTCCAAGTCCCCGGCACCTGCTGGATCTACCCCCTGCGCACCCCAACAACCACGGCCATCCCTGAGGGGGCTTACCTTGCCCACGTTGAAGTAGAACAGGACGCCCGCGGTCACCTGGGCAATGAGGATCAGGAGGAGGAAGGCGAAGTACTGGGGACACAGAGCAGGTGCGGGGTCAGCCCCGAGAAGAGCCGCCCCACCACCGCCGGAAGCAGGATGGGGGGGGCGGTGGAGCGGGACTCACCAGCCCGAGCAGGCAGCGGACTTCATTGATGGCGCCCAGGCAGCCCAGGAAGCCCATGAGCATGGTGACCGCCCCCACACCGATGAAGATGTAGGCGCCCATCTTGAGGGAGCTGGAGGACGTCTCTGGGGGGGAGGAGAAGAGCGTCACTCAGGGCAAGGCCGAGGGGCCCTGGGCCCAGCAGGTGCAGAGACCCCAAGTCCCCTCCACCGCTCCCCGCCCTTGGCGCCAAGGCACCACCGCTCTGCAGGGAACCTGCTCCTTCCCCTGCCCGTCCTGGCAGTGCCCCGGCTTGGCTTCTCCTCCTCTGCACTTCCCAGGTCGGCGTGGACTGTGGCATTCGCCAGCCCCCAGGAGAGGGAAGGACGGGGAGGCAGGGGCTGTGCTTGGGCTCTGCAGAGCTTCCTGCTGGACAAACAGGCCCAGTGACTTCTGCAAGAATGTGCACTGAAGGAACCCACCAGGGGTCCTGGGCGTGACCCACACGGTCTACAGGCAGGCCACTGCACAGACAAGCAAACAAGTGGGCCACCGGGCACATGCGCCTCATGCAGGCAGGCGGAAGTAGGAGGAAGGCAGACCAGGCCTGACATCTGGCAGTCCATCTGGCAGCCCAGGCAGGTGTGGGGACAATAAGGAAAGAACACGAGAGACTTTCAAAAGCTCACAAGAAATGGAACTCAGAGACACATTTTCTTGCTACTTTGTTTTTTAAAAAACCCATGCAGGCATTTTTTTTTCCATAATATGCATTTTCCACAAACCTCTGGAAGCATGCTTTGTTAGTTGGTTGACTGATTGGTAGGTTTGAGTGGGAAAGAGAGAAATGGGGTTCATCCTCTGGTTCATTCACCAAATGCCTGCAGTAGACAGAGCTGGCCAAGTCTACAATTCATTCTGAGTCTCCTGCTGGGGTGGTGGGGACCCCAGTAGTTGAGCCGTCACCTGCTGCCTCCCAGAGTGGGCCTGAATCGAAGCTGGCATGAGCAGCTGAGCCAGGCCTTGAGCACAGGCAGTGTGATGTCGGATGTGATGGCCCCAAGCCGGGCCTGCCCAGCGGCACTCGGGGCCCACTGTTGTTCAGATTTCCAGGTCAGAGAAAGGCCGTGAGGACCCGAGACAGGCGTAGGCTGGAGATAGCCATGGGATGTGGCCTGAGCTGGGACAGTGGAGGAAGGTGGTCTGAGCAGGTGACTTCTCAGCTGAGACGAGAACAGAGAAGGCAGCCAAGTGCAGACTGCAGGGAAATGCGTCCCTGGTGGTGGGCATGGCAAGGTGCAAAGGCTGGGGGAAGGCACAGGCTTGGTGTGTTGGCAGGAGGGCGAGGAGAGTAAGGGCAAGCCGATGTGAGAGAGGGGTCAGGCAGGCAATGGAACACTGAGTGTGGGGCAGTGGGCCTGAGAGCAGAGACCCCCTTCAGGCTGCTGGTGGGCGGGGTCAGAAGCCCTGAGATTGGCAGGCATTTCTCAAGAAGCCCAGCAGGTGGCGTAGGCACAGCCCAGGTCTGTCTCCAGCTATGCTGACCTAGGTGCGATATGGGGGACAGACTCGAACTCCAGTCCCAGGAGCTCTGGCAGGCACTCCGGGTGGGGGAGCAGGGTGGCTGGAGTTCAATGCTTCCAGAAGGAATGCATCAGAGGGTCTTAGGGATATGATTCCGGACAGAGCCGCTGCAGAGAGAAGGCCATGGACCCGTGTTCCTTCACCGCTGACCATACGGAGGTGGACGAGCTCAGGCCTGGGCTGGCTGGGGTTGAGGGAGAAGGCTGTGAACCCCTCTCCGCCCACCCCCCACAAACACCCTGGTCACTGAAATTGCATGGGAGCTTTAGGAAAGGGCATCGAGCTGACAGGGTGGGGGGAGTAGGGGAGTAGGCAGCCATGCTAATCTAGTTCTACCTCCTGCTCACAGAATGTTCTGGAGCTCAGAAGGAATCTTGGCTGATCCACTGCACTCCTCGGGTGCCAGGGCAGGGCACCCCCTGCCACAGGAAGCCAGGGTGGAGTCCCTACTGGGATGAATGGAGAGGGGAAGCTGGCACGGAGCTGCAGCCTCCGTTAGTCCGCATGGGCAGGGAGAGACTATAGCTTTTTTGCCTTCATTTCTTGAGCTGGACTCCCTGGGAAAGAGAAGCTGGCATTGCCTGGGAAGCAGCCCCGTGCCGGCTCCAAGCAACTCCCTTTTTGTCCCGGTCACGCACCTGGCGGGTGGCAGAGCCTCCGACTGGAATGCGGCAGTCTAGCTCAACCAGCTCCCCATCATCTATCATGTTTTCTCTCTCATGAGGGCGCCCATAGGGGGCCACAGCAGAGTGCGGGACACAGTTGAGGGTCTCAGCCCAGTTCCCCTCTAGCTGACACTGAGCCGTCAGACACTGAGCTGCATCGCCTCCTTGTACCTCGATTGCCTGCTCTGTAGAATGGGGCTAGTAAACCTGTGGAATCTGTGGAGACTTAACCATGCAAAGTGAGAGCTGGGTCACGTGGGCCCCACACTCGGGCTCCGGGCCCCAGCCTTCCCTTGCAAGTGTGACTCTGAAAGGCAATCCACCGGCCTCAGTTTGCCCCATTGAACAGTAACCAAGCTGTGACCGACAATTCTTCCAGACCCAGTGCTCTGGCACCTCCCACACAGAGGGGCTCAGTTCAGGTTCCGGGGGGGATGCAGGTGCTGCATTTGTGAAAACAGTAGCAGGGTGCCTCTGGCTGGCACAGGGGGCAGGCCCTTGGCTGCAGTAGGACCTCCCCCGTCCCTGGAGCCCTAGCCAGGGTGCAGAGGGCAGTTATAGAAGTGGGCAGGCTGACAGACTAGGCCTCCGGACTTTGCCCTATGGCACGGTGCCCACTGGGCTTGGGCCAGTCAGGGCTGAGGAGAGCGAGCTCTGGGAGCCAGGGGCTGGACAGAGCAGGATGCAGGGACAGAGAGGGAAGAGGGCAGGGCATCCTTGGTTCAGGTCTGAGAAGGGGGCGGCCCAGCCTCCCTCCCCTGGGACCAGAGTGACAGGTGTGGTCCTCCATCATGACCTCTTTGCCTCCTGTTGCATTCAAAACAAGCAGCTGTCATTGGTCTGAGTCCGTACCAGCTGTCTTGGGCAGCTGCTGGGAGGGGAAGTGAGCCAGCACATACTCAGAGGGACTGGCACCGCTGTGTCCCCTCTCTCACCATGGAGAGAAAGGGCGCAGCAAGCCCTGAGGGCTTCCTGGAGGAGACTGGGAAGGAAGGGCTCTTGTCTTACAGGGCTCCCAAGACAGGCTTCTGGGGTGTGGCCCACCCTGCCACGGGCCTTTCCGATGGAAGCAGGGCTCTTGGGGTGCAGGGTTTGGGGTCCGCACCCACCCTTCAAAATGTGACCTCCCAAGGCCTGACCTCCCAGGGCCTCTAGCTCTTCCTGTCGGAGGCAGGGCAAGGACTGCACCTGTTCCCAGGATGCCACATGGCTAAGTGTGCTGCTGCACCCTCTAACTACCCCCCATCTCTGCACTGCCCTGAAGCCAGGAAGGCGAGGGACCCACACCCACATTTTGCTGAAGTGACAAATAGCCGGGGAAGGACAGAGAAATCTAAGAGGGTTTCCCAAGGTCAAGGCCAAGGGACCAGGAAGGGAAAACCAGCCTCCTTCAGCACTGTCCCACCCCCCGCCCCAGCCAGTGCCTGGGCGACAATAGCAGCTCTGTTTGGGGAGGGAGAGAAAATTCCTGCTGGAATCCCCAGCCCAGGGACCCACGGTGGAGTGGTCTGTGGCAGGAGCAGGACCGGGCTAAGCCCCCGAGGGAGGTCTCCAGCTGCCCGCCCTCCACTCCGGAGGAAAGCACGGGGCTCCTTACGCAGGACAGAGATGAAGCTGCTCCTGTCGGCGAGGATCCACACCCCGAAACCCAGGATCACGGCACCCAGGATCTGCAAGGAGAGGGGAGCGTGAAGGAGGACCCGAGGGCAGCTGGGAGACAAAGCTACGATGGCTGTCTGTGCCATGCGGCCCAGGCCTGCCCCAGCCTTTCTCCTGCTCAAGCTGGAAGCCTTGCCATGCAGCCACAGGCCCACATGTGGGGAACCTGCCTGCACCCCATCTACCACCACCACTTCCAGGAGTACTCACACAGAGGCCGCCAGGGCTGCCTCCGGACTGGGTGACCTTCCAGTCTTGGGCCCACTCCTCCAGCCCAGCTCAGGTCCTCCCTGAACTTGAACATCAACATCCAACTTGTCTTTCAGCTCTCAGCCACAAGGCCACATTCCCCAGCAGCCTTTCCTTGGCTCCCCCAGGCAGACAGGCACCCCTGTTCCATGGTCAACCCCTGCTGGGCCCTGGAGCTCACTCTGGCTCTCCACGAAGGCAGTGCTTCCACCTTCATCTCCCTCAGAAGGAGTCCTGGTCTAGATCCATGAGCCTGCCAAGCTGACAAAGGCTGGGGACAGCACCTGAGGTCCCGGCAAAGCACAGGGAAGGGATGTCCCCATGTCACCCACAAGGCTGGCCATCTCCAGGGACCTGGACTGGAGACCCCTGCTGGACAAGCCATGTGGAGGGTCTTAGCTGGGATCCCAATGCCCTAGGTTGTTACAAAGTGGCAGGGGCTGGTATTCCAGTGGCTCCTCGTTCAACCTGCTCTGTTGTGATGGAGACTATAGCTGCCACCAGCAGAAGGCAGGAGGCATTGGTGCAAAATGTATACAGGCATAAACACCTGGGCAGTCAGGAGAACCAGCGCTGCCCAGCAGAAAAAGCCTGTCAACACCCCATAACAGTCCATCCGACTTGACAATGATGGTTGGAAAGGCCCTGTGTCCGTGGTCTCTCCTCAGGCTCCAGTAGGACCCAGCGGGGGAGGGCCCTCAAACCCCTTGCAGTCCACTGCAGGTGAAGGCTATGAAGGTGAAGGCGTGGGTCCCACCCAATAGCCCCAGAGCATCACCATGGAGTCTTTGTTTTAAAAACATATTTTAAAGTCAATTTTATTTTTTAAAGATTTTTTTAAAATTGGAAGGGCATATCAGATTGATGAAGAAAGACACAGAAAGATCTTCCATCTGTTGGTTCATTCCCTAATGGCAGCAATGGCTGGAGCTGAGCCAATCTGAAGCCAGGAGCTTCTTCCATGTCTCTCACATGGGTCCCAAGTGCTTTGGGCCATCCTTTATCGCGTTTCTAGGCTACCAGCAGGTAGCAGGATGGGAGGTAGAATACCCAGGACACAAACCAGTGTCAATATGAGATCCCAGTGCTTGCAAGGCAAAGATTTAGCCGCTGAGCTTTTGCGTTGGGATCACCATGGAGTCTTACACATCCTCTCTCCTTGTCCCCATGTTGCACCTGGGGACATTGAGGCCCCAGGGTCACCCATCAGGAATTGGAGGCCAGAGGGAGGCAGGTGAGCCATATAGACATCTGGGAACCCTCCTGTACCTTATCCCACAAAGCCAGTCTTGGGGACACTGACGCTGCAGAGTGGGACCACACTCTGTGAACTGGAAAGAAGTGGAGTTTTCCAAAATCTGGGGAGTTTGGTTCCCAGAAATCTCTGACCTCCTGGCTGTCCCAGCCCACCTCCAAAGCCTGGCTGGGCAAAGGCCAAATCTTGGGCCCATGTGGACAGAGCCCTTTAACCAGCTAACCACCTGCGCTCCCAGTGCTGGATGGGAAGCACAGCTCTCCCTGAAATGGGTGCAAGGCAGATCAGCCTGTGTTCCCTTGGGACAGTCAAACCCCAGATGGCCCTCCTAGCAACCCAGCGCTCCAAGGGGAAGCCAGACAGGGCACCCCACCCCCACCACACACACACACACACACACACACACACACACACACACACACACACAACCAGAGCTGCCTGCTGTGGCTGACGAACACAATCTCATGATTCTTTTGGGACTAGGACAGCCAGGTGGCTGCCCAAACTGGGTCTGCACATCATGGCAATGCTTTGAGAAAGAGACTTCCAACCACTGGTTTACTCCCCAAATAATTACCATAGCCTGGGCTGGGCCAGAGCTAAGGCTGGGAACTCATCTGAAGTTTCCCATGTGAGTGGCAGGGACATGACCACTTGAGCCCTCAGGGATGCCATTGGCAGGAAGCTGGAGTCAGGAGCTGGAGCTGAGTTAAATCCAGCTACTTGGATGTGAATATCTCAACTAGTCTTAACCATTAGGCTAAAAGCCCACCCAGGAACCCCTGTCTAAAGAAAGGGAGAAGGAGCAAGAAGGAAAGACAGGGATGATTTCTGTCCCCTGGTTGGCCTACAAAGTCCCCACAATAGCCATGGCTAAGCCAGGCTGAAGCCAGGAGCCCAGAACTCCATCCAAGGCCCCCACATGGATGACAGGGGCTATTACCTGCCACCTCCCAGGATGCCTCAGCAGGCCCTCTGACATGGGACATGGGCATCCTGAGTGGCAGTGACCTACAGCATCACAATACTTGTCCCAGAAAACCCCCCATTTTTCATGAAGCAAGGATGGGGCCACAGTGCCCACTCCATATCAACCACCCCACAGCCCCAGCTGGGTGGGGACATTTGAGGCCAGCATCCCTCCCCCTAGAAAAGCAGATGGGGAGACTGGCATTGGAAGGGGGTGCAGGCAAGGACAGATACATGCTCAAGGTGGGCTGCTCCACCACACACAGCAGCTAGAGCTGTTGGCCCAAACCGTGCATCTCACCTGGTAACCCCTTCCTGATGCACACAAAAGACCTGAATCTTGTGCGGTTTGTGCCCTGGAGAGGCCCACTCTCCATGCCCCTACACCCCGACACACACCCCATTTCCCCACCTGGGCATTTGCTCACGTTGCTGCGACCTCTCTCTCCCAAGAAATCTCTGGAGAGTTCTTGCCAACAGGGAGGCTGAGCATCTTGGAACCTGCTCCCCGAGGGACCTCCCTGCCACGCCTGGCACCCACCATCATTCTCATTGTCTAACCCAGCTGATGGAAGCCTGTGCCATCCTCCACAACAGAACTCTTCTTCTGCCTGGGGCCCTGAACATCTGGAGGTGTCAACCATGGAATCTGCAGGCAGCTGGGCCCAGGACTACCTGAGGATTCCCTAATCTGTGGATGTACGAGCCCCTTGTATGCGAGCTGGTACAGGATTGGTATATAACTGGTGGCACTTGTCCTCCTCCGTGCCTTCGATCACATGCAGATCACTGCAATGTAACAGCCATGAGATCGGTCCTTCCCTTGTTTCAGGAATGTTCAGAAGGAAACAGAGTCTGCACTTGTCTGGTACCCAGGCATTTTGGTAACATTTACAACCTGCCATGGGTGCTGTGATCACGGAGCCGACAGGTGCAGAGCATGGCCACGCACACATGTTCCTGGTCGTCTTTTCCATTTCCTCTCACCCTCCCCAAATCAAAGCAGCTGCAGCATTTTGGTGGAAGGGCGGAGTCCTGCTGGGCTGCAGCACACACAGAGTTAACACCTGATTCCGTCAGGCTGAGGCCTGGCAGGGAGGAGGTGAGGGAAAGCCAAGCTCTGGATGGACGGGCTCCCAGAGCTCTGGCTGGAGACCAGAGCTTTTCCACTCTTGTTTCCATAGGATGGCCCTGGATCAGGCGAGGAAGGAACATTCTGGCCAAAACCACCAAACCAGGTCCCCTTCTCTGCCAGGCCCCTCCCCTGTCTCAGCGCCTCCCCCATCTCTGCAAGGAAGAACCCGACTCCCTGAACCCCAAGCCCTGCCATGCTCTAGGACAGAGCCCAGAGCCCCGGGAATAAAGCCCTGCACTTAACCATGCCCTGCCGCGGCAGCCCAGAAAGCTGGGCCCAGGACCCCAAAACCTGCTTTTGTCTGCCTGGGGAGCTGACTTCCCAGAGGCTTGGGCAGGCCCAGGGAGGTCCAGACCACCAAAAGGGGGGAGTCCAGGTACCAAGGCCCTGCCTAGGGTGGGCTCCAGGATGGCTGCTGTGATTGCACTGGGGCTGTGGGCAGCAGACCAGGCAGCTCCAGAGTGTCTACCTATGTGCTCTCGTGTGTGTGTGTGTGTGTGTGTGTGTGTGTGTGTGTGTGTGCGCGTGTGTGTGCACGCACTCGTGTGTGTATGTGTGTATATGTCAGGAACCACCTGTGTCTGTGCCTTGAGATAAAGGAGAGTTCAAGATTTCTGTTCTCCAAACTTTCTAGAAGCCCATGTAATATGTATACAACCAACCTCCCCTCCATGGTACTGACACTGTGGCACAGCAGGTAAAGCTACCACCTGCAACGTCAGTTTCCCATATGGATATCGGTTCGAGACCCACCCACTCCACTTCCTTTTTAAATTTTTTTTTTATTGTTATCATTTTATGATACAGTTCCACAGGCCCTGGTATTTCCCATATCCCCTCCCCAAATTCCCTAGCCCCCACCACTGAGGTCTCCTGTATTATTACTATAGTATAGTTCTTCATAAATAGTCATATGTCCATCATTGTGGATGTGGACAATGGCAAAGAGTCCAGCATTATATTGTCAAATTATAGTTAACAGTTTCATTGGGAGTCCATCTTTGATCTGGAAGTGGAGATGCATACTGCATTGTATCCTCACATCTGGATATGATAGTCTCCATGACACAGTTACTGTACATCCCCTTAAATGAAAAAGCCACAATACAAAAACAATAGGAAGATAAATAGAAATTTACAATGCCATGAAGTTAAATAACATGCTGCTGGATACGATAGTCTCCATTACACAGTTACTCTAATCTCCTTAAATGAAAAGACACAAAACAGAATCAAAGGAAGAAAAAAGTTAAAACACCATGAAGTTAAATTACATACTACTGAATGACTGATGTGTCACTGAAGAAATGAAACAGGAAATCAAGAACCTTCTTGAAGGAAATGATGCTACTGTATGATCTGTGAGTCAGTGAAGAATTTAATGAGAAAGTGTTTTGAAGAGATGAAACTAAATTTAAAAAATTCACATCCATGAGATATAGTTTCCGCTGATCTTTGTTGGTGAGATGTGTCTTCCGTAGGCAACAAATAGATGGGTTTTTTTTAATCCAGTCTATTAATCTATGACATTTGATTGATGAGTTTAAGCCATTTATACTCAGGGTTAATATGGATGGGTGGTAATTTGGTTCTGTCATTTCAGCAATGAGTTGTTCATTGATTTAGTCTTTTGTTATTTTACTGAGATGTTCTTCACATTTGCCTTTGGTTTTGGTGGGTGCTATTCCTTTTCTCTGTCAAGAGAGCATCTTTGAGTATCATTTGTAGAGCAGGTTTGGAAGAGGCATATTCTTTGAACTTTTCTTTACTGTGGAAGAATTTTATTTCATTGTTAAAGACACAGGAAAACTTTGCTGGGTACATTATCCTGGGCTGACAATTCTTTGCTTTTAGAATCTAGAATATGTTGCTCCATTCTCTTCTTGCCTGTAGAGTTTCCCGTGAGAGGTCTCCTGTGAATTTAACTGGCATTCCGATTGTTTGTTTGTTTGCTTGTTTGTTTTTATGTGCACATTAAAGATCTTTTCCTTGTGTTTGATTGAAGAGAGTTTGATTATCATGTGTCGTGTTGAACATCGCTTTTGGTCAATCCTGTTGGGAGTTCTGTATCCCTCCTGGATGTTGTTTCCTAATTCTTTCACTAGATTAGGGAAATTTTTCATTAAATACACCTTTAATCCAAGCTTCTCTTTCTGCAGCTTCCGGGACTCCCATAGCTCTGATATTTGGCCTTTTAATAATATCTTTCAGTTCTTGAATACTTTTTTTAGCTTGACCCAGCTCTGTTTCTAGCTTTTTGTTTGTTTCCTCCTGGTGACAGGAAATATCTTCCAATTCTTTCTTCTGCCTCCTTCATTCTATTTTGGAGACTCTCCACTATACTTTTAATTTGCTCCACTATATTCTTCATTTCTGATATATCAGCTTTCATTTGATTCATTTCCTGTGTGACATGTTCCTTACATTTCTTCAATGTACTTCTTATTGATAAGAAGCTTTATAACATGTGCTTTGAATTCTGTATCCCCCATTTTTTACATGTCTTCCTCAGTGAACTCTGAGGTTGGCAAAGGCTTCTGCTCCTTTGCAGGGGAGTCAGCAGTAATATTCACTGTGCCTATGTCTCTTCCTTGGCTCTTTGTCACTGTACTTCTGGTTAGCAGATTCTTCTCCTTGGGGCAGATTTCTAAGCTGTGTCACCCACAGGTCTATAGTTCTATTTACCATGTGGTTGGTACATGGCTCTTTGTTTGCAGTCAATGTGTGCCCCTCCCTCTAGCGAGTTCCAGGTCTAGGTTCTTATGTTTGATTTCCACCATGGTTTCATAGCCCCAGCTCCTGGTTCGCCAGCCTCCAGCTCCTATAATACCATACTGAGGCTGCACCATTGTCTGTACAACCTTTCCCCAACTTCCTGTTACAGCAGCTCCCAGAATTAGGGAGACATCATGTGTCCTACATAACTAGATTGTTAATGATGCTGATCTTGCCAGAATCTGTTAGCCTTAGGTCTGAGGGCTGCACAGACCTATCTTGGCCCATACAATGCCAAAGTCAGTGTTATTTCCCTGTGGGACCAATACAATGCACTCAGCTCAGTGAGTTTGCTCCCAGCTTAGTGCATGCACAGCTCACTGTTGTCACCTACAGTCTTAAAGTTTTTCCACACTGTACAAAATGGCACCTGATATGCCACTACTAGAGTTCTTGATCTGTTAGTCATCAGCTCTGAGGGCTACTCAGACCTATCTTGGGTGGAACCTATAGGATGCCACACCGTTGCAATTCACTGAGCCCGAAATCAGTTCACTCCCAGTCCAGTACATGCACAGTACTGTCCATAGCCTTTGCTTCCCTACGCAAAATGGCATCCAATTTGGCTCTAGAGGGCAGAGTGGGCTGTGAAATCCACCCTTATCCCGCACTGCCTGTCTGGGACCTGCTGCTCTGTCTCTGCTCCTGATCAAATCAAACAGACCAGCAAGACAGGCAATTCTTTGTCTGGGTTCACCTGCTGAGCTCCCAGTGAGAGTCCCTTCTCACCATGTTGCTGGTGGAGTTCCGGCTAGCAGTGCAGTTCAAATCGTCACTTGCTGAATGTAGCTGTGGTACCTGTCACAGCAACACCACACCGTTGAGTCTGCTGTTCTCCTGTGTCTGCCAGTCTGCAGGTGCTGTCATTCTGTCCTCTCCTATTTCCTAGAATGTGCCCTCTCTACTTCACACCGGCTAACATCTCTCTGTCTGTTTAAATGTGTCCTTACCCTATTCTGCCATCTTGATTCTCATGTCCACTTATGTTTACAGGCAGCTAAGTCTTTCACCTATGGTAAATCATGTGATCGGTCATTTCCTTCAGCTTCCTTCTCATCTGCACTGTATTTTTCCACTTGTTTTCTAATTACAAAAAGATCTGTGCCTTTTGTTCCTACTATATTTTCTACAGTAATTTCACCGGAATTTGGGGATTTAAAAAATGCCTTGTTGAAATGGAGATGTGCTACATTTATATTTTTGTTCTTCTTTTCTACATTGTTTCTGAAGAGTACAAATAATTCTAAGCTATGACATAGAACCATGTACCTTGTGGTATTGCAGAAATCAGAGCAAACAAAAATATTTTCACAGTCAATTTCCAGAAGCTTTGTGAGCCTTTTCATTAGTGTTCAAACAACAACTTTGTGAAATCTGAAGGCAGAAGGACCCCTGGGAGGCACCATGATTCTTCACAAATTCCCTCATTTGTGCCCAGCTCAACGTCACCCACTCCACTTCCAAACCAGCTGCCTGCTTATTGCATGGGAAAGCAGCAGAGGATGGCCCAAGTCCTTGGGCCTCTACACCCAGACAGGGGACTGGGAAGAAGCTCCCGGCTCCTGGATTTAGATCAGCCCAGCCCCATCCCCAGCTGTCAAGGCCTCTCTAAACCACCTGCACTCCCCGACCAGCACTCCCCTCCACCCTGGCACCTCCCACAGCTCCTGCAGCAGTCAGGAGAGGCCAGGTCAGAGAGGAAAACCAGGTCCCGGGAAAAACAGCTCCAGATGTTACTATGAAACTAATACCTGGGCAGCCCTGAGGCTCTGATGACTTGGTGTGGGAATGGGCGCTATGTCCTGGGTCTGAGCCAGAGCTAAGAGTCCCTTGCTCTCCCTGGAGTCGCATTCAGGGAGTGTGACAGACCACAGGGGCCTGAGGCTGCGACAGGATGTTCTTGACATGGAAGGTGGTGGCCAGAGCAGGTTCAGAGATGCCAGGATCTTCTTCTAACTTCACCACTGAGGCAGGGGAGCCCTGGTTCTTGCCTTTGCCTACATTCCCACCAGCCTTGGTCAGCACAAGCCCTGCAGGCTCCATGATAGGGAAAGGCCTAGGACAACAATCTGGTCTTTTGCCAGGAATTCTGGGAATCGCCTGGCTGCCTCCACTCAATGCCATGGGCCACCCTCTGTCCTCAGCCCCAGCCACTGTTCTCTGGAGGTCTGGGGCCAGGGGCTTGCTACAGGAGGAGAAGTAGGAAGGGAGGTACCAAGCCATACTTACAAAGAAGAGCAGGTTGAAGAGGAAGAGGAAGTACTTGGTGACTTTGATGCAGGCTGCCCCCATGCTGCTGGTCCTGGAGCTCCCTGGGGACGAGAGAGGAGGCAGATAGGTCGGTGCAGGGTCAGGGGTGGCATGAGGGGAGAGGCGCAGGTGCAGCCCAGGGAGGCAGCTGAAGCTAACAACACCTGTATCCCTGCCTCCATCATCTTGGGTGGCCCCCACAGCCACCCCACAAGGTAGGGATGAATGCTGTCTCCACTGTAGGGGACTCGGAAGCTCAGAGAGGCTGGGTGAGTGGCCCCAGTCATGCAACCGGGAAGCATGGCCCACAGGCAGTGTTGGTCACCTGACACCTGGCTGGCAGCCAAGAAGAGAAGTTCCACCTTCTCAAAAAGTGGGCGAAGCAACCCTCTCCTTTTTACCCATAAGGAAATAATCACGCAGCACAGAACATCTAAGAAGTACTGAGAAAAGCAACTCACACAAAAATCATTATCTCACCCAGAGATGAAAAGTGCCATCATACTAGCAGCCTTCAGGTCAGAGTACAGATGTGTGTGTACACAAAATATGTACGCGTAACATGTATGTATAGAACATGTGCAATTGTGCATGTGGAGTGTCTTCGTTATAATGTGCAAATGCGCATACATAAAGCATGAGTTGTGCATACATGATGTGGGGGCATACGTAACGGTGTAGAGCTGCACACAACTTGACTGTGTGTATATAATACGTGTGTGCGCACAGCACGAGCGAGTATAACAAAAGCTTTTAGAGAACATTGGCCTCAGCTGCAGAGTGATTTGCTGCCTGCTGTCTTCGCTCTTCTATATATAATCCACACGCTGATAGAATGCTCCCCTGTGTACAACAGGATTTTACATCAGATCACATTACGTCACATGGGACTCCATCCTGCTGGACAGTACACACCAGCCCCCCGGAGGCCAAAGGTGCCCCCAGAAAATGAACGTCTGCATAGCACTTAACAAATAATATCTAGGGGTCTCCACAATGGCTCAACTGGCTAGCCCTCCACCTTCAAGTGCCAGCATCCCATATGGGCACAAGTTCATATCCTGGCTGCTCTATTTCCCATCCAGCTCATTGTTTGTGGCCTGGGAAAGCAGTCAAGGATGGTCCAAAGCCTTAGGACCCTGCAACCACCTGGTAGACCCAAAAGAAGCTCCTGGATCCTGGCTTCAGATTGGCTCAGCTCTAACTGTTGTGGGTACTTGGGGAATGAACCAGTAGATAGAAGATCTTTCTCTGTCTCTCCTTCTTCTATAAAATCTGTCTTCCTAATAAAAATAAATAACTTTTTAAAAAGAAACAAATAGGGTCCAGCGGCGTGGCCTAGTGGCTAAAGTCCTCGCCTTGAACACGCCGGGATCCCATATAGGCACCGGTTCTTATCCCAGCAGCTCCACCAGTCGAGGACAGCCCCAAAGCCTTGGGACCCTGCAACCATGTGGGAGACCCAGAAGAAGTTCCTGGATCCTGGCTTCAGATCGGCATAGCTTTGGCCGTTGCGCTCACTTGGGGAGTGAATCATCGGATGGAAGATCTTCCTCTCTGTCTCTCCTCCTCTCTGTATATCTGACTTTCCAATAAATAAATAAAATCTGTTTTTTAAAAAAAGAAACAAATAACACCTAGTGATTGGTGGACCCCAGGAAGCCCACACTGACCCCCAACAAACCCAGGTTAAAGTCCCAGGTACAAACCTGTCGCCAAGCGCTCAGACAATCTTGTAAGAATAGCACACAGGTTATTTCCAAGTTACCACCATCCCCTCAGATTACACATGCTGTGCTTCTGAAATGACCAACTCTGCCCAGTACACTGAGCCCCTCCTCATAGGAAGACCCTGGGGGGCGCAGGGGAGAAGAGAGGAGTCAGAAGGGCTGGTGGTGGGGTATAGTGGGGTAAACTACCACCTGGAACATGAGCCTTCCAGGGGAGTCTTGGTTCAGGCCTAGATGCTCTGCTTCTAACTAGCAGGATGGTCCAAGTACTTAGGCACCTGCCACCCATGTGGGAGATGGGATAAAGTTCTGGATTCCCGGCTTTGGCCTGGCCTGGATCTGGCTGCTGCCGGCATCTAGGCAGTGAACTAAGCAGATGGACAAGCTCTCTCTGTGTCTGTCCCCTATCCCTGTCGCCCTGCCTTTCAGATACATTATATATATTTATACATTTTAAGGGGAAGCCCAAGGCAGTCTGCCCACACCCCTCTCCTGAGGTCAGACAATCTCAGACTGACAAATGCTTTTGTGGGGCAGGGGCAGTTAGTGCAGGGCAGCTGAGGCCAGGACAGCTGGTTAGGGACAGCTGCATGTGGGCAGGCTGGCCTAGCGGGGCTGGGAGCAGGCACCAGACCCAGCTGTGGTCCCTGGAGCAGAGTGGGAAGAGGGCCCAATGCCCAGGCATCTCCTCCCCAGCCTGCACCACATTGTGAGGCCATGCTGGGCCCCCTTGCCCACTTCTGGTCATGCTAATGACTGTTATTCTTCTCACCTCTTTGCCAGATGGGAGGTCAGCAACACCTTTGTGTACCTGCAGAGGGGTGTGGCTATGGGGAGGGCTAGATTCCCAAGGGGCACAGCTCAGCTCCATCCATCAGCTAGACATCACACTCCACAGCTGGCTTTCTAAAACACAGACCAAGGGACAACTGGAAGCACAGCTGCCCAGAGAAACAGAGTCATATTGGTGGTAGTGAGCTCCCCAGCAAGAGAGGCATGCAAGCAAAGGACAAGATGAGATTGAATAGATCTTTCAGGATCCCAGGTTCAGGGGCTGGGAATGAGAGATAGGCCGTGTCCTGAGGGACAGCCCACAGATGAGCCACACTCTCCATAAGGACATCATCTCATGTCCCAGTGGCCTTGGGAAACAGGCCGAGCATGACCAGCCCTGGTCCTCATGTCTTCAGGGTCAAGGCCATCCCTGGGGCAGCCTCGCAGCCATCACAGAAAAGCCTGAACTTGACCGTGAGTGTGCTAGGGGCAGAGTGGTGCCAGTGCATGCTCTCAGCCCCAGGCCGTCACTCTCACACGTCAGTGCCTCTTCAAGTTGTTTATGTCCATTGATTTTACACACAACAGCTGGGGCTGGGCCAGCGCCAGGAGTGGGAATTCAGGATGAGTCGCCCGTGGAAGCGGCAGAGACCCGACTATGGGAGCCGCCACCTGCTGCCTCACAGGGTGTTCATTCACACGAAGCTGGAGTGGGCAGCAGGGCCAAAACTCACACCGAGCCACACTAACCTGGGCTGCGGTCTTTACTGCTAGACCAACACCTACCCCAGCCTGGGAGTGAATATTCCTGTCCCTGGAGAAGCCAAGGCTCAGACATGCTGAGTAGCATGCCCAAGTCACACAGCTCATAGGCAGTGCTGTGTGGCATGGCCGCAGATTTTTCCACTGCCAAGATCCTCATCCAGGGAGAAGCCAGGACTCTCCAGGGATTGTTTGTCCAGGAAGGGGGCTCAGCTGGGCCGGCCAGGAGGAGGCTGGGAGATCTTGTTACCCAGCTCCCCACCAATGCTGCCAAACTGGCCTTACCCACTATTCTGGCCTCTTGGTTCTCCTAGCCTGGGCTCTTTCTCACAAGTTCAGCTGGCTGCCTACTTCTCATACAGCCATGAGCTAAGAACGGATTTGAAATAGTTGAAAAGAAAAAAAGAAAAGAAAAGATTTTGTATTGCATGACAATTGCATGGAATTTAAATGTTTGTGTCTGTAAATTCAGCTGTGCTAGCACACACCCAAGCTACCCAGCTTACAGCATCTACTGCCTGGCCCTTTAAGGGCGTACAGGGAAGCCTCTGTAAGACACAGTGAAGGTCATGACTGCCTTGGCCTAGGAGCTGGGGAGGGGGCTGTGGAGAATTAGTGAACTTAGTATCAGAAACCAATGCAGCTTGACATCAGGATTCCTGGACAAAGGTTCGAATCCTCACTCCACCAACAGGTGGGCCACATGGAAGGTGCCTCTTGGGCTTCCTTCTCCCTGCTGTGGCAACAAGAAGGTGAGATTAGAACCTGCTGTTGCCTGGGCTTAGTAAACCAGAGCTGGGAACAGCATCATTTAAAAAATATTTTTTTTTTCACTTTTATTTACCTCTTTTCAACTTATTTGAAATGAGACAATGAGTGAGATCTCAGCTGTCACCAACAGCTAGGTCAGGTCAAACCAGGGGCCTGGAATTCCATCTGAGTCTCCCATACGGGTGGCAGAGAACAAACACTTAAATAATTGAGCCAATCTTCAGCATCTCTTGGGGTGTACATCAGCAGGGAGTTGGATCAGAAGCAAAGTAGCTGAGACTCCACCTGGGCACTTCAATATGGGGTGCAGGCAACACAACCCAGGGTTAGCATCTAGCCCATTTATCATCATCAGTTCAAACAGCACTGGCGGAAGTGAGGGGCGAGCATTGCACAGACAGATGAAACTTAGCAAACAGTGTTCCCAGCGTTACACTCTCTGTATACACCTTTTGCAAACACTGGAGGGGCTGCCCACGCCTTCCTGCTTGGTGAGTTAGAGAAGTTGACCACACAGGAGTGTAAGAGTCAGGTGAGACCTCCGGGAACCTCCTGAGGAGTTCTGGGGTCGGGGTGTGCGGGATGGAGGAGTCAAGTACATGCTATGCACTACATGTTATGCGCCACAACAGGTACAGCAGGTTTCCAAGAAACCACAATTCAAACTGATCATCTGTATCATTTTATACCAAACCCATCTGCACAACTTTCTTAGTTTCTGTTCATCTTTCATGTTCTGAAACAACCCCTCTTACAAGGATGTCAGCCAGCCCGGTCACCTTTGCTACCCCTTGGTCTACAAGACACCTACAAGTTGGGGGCACTCTTTCTCTGCTTCCTTTCAAAACTACAGGATATTAGAGCTGGTCCCCAAAACATTGCCTGGGTTTTATCACCTCCTGGCTGTGTAACCTGGGACAGGCAATTTAACTTGCTGAGCTTCCCTGTATGGCACTGTGAAATGATGAAGACACAATGTATTCTGCAGATTGGTCCAGACATTCAATTAGAGAATGTGAGGGAAATACCCAGTGAGGGATAGGATGTCAACAAATGGCGGCTACAACTCAGCACGTTATCCAGCCATGCTCCACATCCTTGTCCACCTTCCTGAGGACTGCAAGACCTTAAAGAAGGCTTCTAACAAAGGTCCTCACATGGGAGACTCGACAGATGGATGGCTGGATGAGCGGATGGATGTCTGCATAGGTGGATGAGTGGGCTGATGGATGGTGGATGGGTAGAATGAATGGATGGAATGATGGCTGGCTGGATGGGAGGATGGATGAAGGGTTGGATGGAGGGAGGGTAGATGGATAAGAGGGAGGAAAGTAGGGAAGGAAGGAGGGGGAGAGGGCTACCTGGGTAGAAGGAAGGATGTGTGAGTGGATAGCTGTGAGGTGTGTGCATAAATGGAAAGATCATAAGGAACAGGTTAGACGGAAGGATGGCTGGGAGCATGAACAGATGGATGGATCAAGACAGGAGAGGGTGGACGGCCACCAAGAAACACCAGGACCTTAAACATTCAGTCACCCAAGGGAGACAGCTGAGTGTTTTCAGGTCTCTCCTGTCCTCACCCATGGGTGATGGTGAGGGTGTACAAGGTGGGCCCATGCGAGCCTGCTCACCAATGCCAGCACTTCCCACCAAACCCCTCTCACTTCCACTGGAGCCACTGGGCATGGGAGGCAGGAGTGGGGAAAGAGCGTATCTTCTAAAGGATCCCTTCTCTGTGTGGGGCCCTTGTGAATCTAACCTGCAGGTAGGGAAGCTGAGTTTGCCCTGCACCTGCCCCCTAACCTGAGAACCCAGATGTTCCCCCATAGCCTTGAGGGGATAGTGAGTGCTAATTAGGGTGGGGCCATGGTACCTCCAGGCCCAGAGTCAGGGTTAGAACTCAGTTCCTGGGCAGGGACACGTGATCTCCCAGAGATGCCTGCCCTCCCTGGACCCAGCTGCTCACCTGTCCACTGTTACACTTGGCGCAGAGTGGTGTTCTCTGGAACAGCTTCTCAGAGTACAGTCCTAGAAGACAGACACATTGTTCAGAACAATGGCACTGCTGTCCTGGCTGGCCTTGGCCCCACCCCGAGAGGCACTGAGCATGGGGCCTCCTGCCAACGCTGCCCAGGAGTCAGCCGCAGATGCACAGGAAGGCCTCCAACTTTGGAGCTCTTCACACCACATGAAACACCCCAAGGCGAAGATTGGGTGTCGGTGGCAGCCCCTCCATCATCACAGGGCTCAGGGTAGACACCCAAGAGCCATGCCTGGTCCTCTGTGCAATCCAGAACTCTTCCTGCCTCCGTGGCTTCTCCTGCCTGAGGTCCACTCCTTCTCCATGAGGCAGGGAGGGCACCTTGAGAAGCACCGCCCCAATCCATCCATCATTCCTCATGGCACCTGCCTGTGCCCCTCCCAGGCCTCATTCTTGCTAACAGCCTGATTCTCCATGGGGCTGCAGGGCCGTGCCCTCTTCAATCACTTCCCATATTGCCCCTTTCACACAATCGCTTGTCTGCTGGGCACACTCAGCCATCACCAACCACAGGGCCTTAGCACGTGAGGTTTCTCTGCCAGAAGTGCTCCCAATCCCCACGTCCTCAAGGCTCCGGGCTCAGAGGACTGGAATCCCTCTTCCTGGAGGCCCTCCCTGATTTATACAGCAGCCCTTAACTTCGGCTGCACACTAAAAACAAACCAGGCCAGGGCTCGAGTCCCCAGGCCCTCCCTAAGTCCTCTGAATCTCCAAGGGTAAGGCCTGGCTTCTCCCAGGGGATGCTACCAAGCTGCCAGGTTTGACCTCTGGGGTTGTCACTGAGTCCTGTTGCAGGGACATGATCTGCTCACTCCCATGCTTGGGCCCCCTCCCAGACACGGATTTCTTCCAGAGCAGGGACCCTGCCTGTCTCACAGACCCTGTGTCCCAGAGCCCAGCTCAGCACCTAGCCGGCAGCACATGCTCTGTGTGTATGTATAGCAAAGAATAGAACCAGGCCTCGGAGATAGCAGGAAGGGTCCCGGACAGGAGACAAGAAAAACTGACTTTGATCCTACAACTTCTCCTGGCCTGAGAAGTGACATCAATGGATGACAGAGGGGGGCTGCTGTATTCCCCAAGATTGGACTTGAACCTCCTGGAGTCAGAGAAGCAAGTGGGAGCCGTGGATGCCCTCTCCCTAGGGAAGATGCAAGCAGACAGGCAAGCATGTACTTCCCTCCAGGCTCAGGGGTCACGGGCCTGTCGCCCCCTGCTCCCAAACACCCTTGAGCACCTTCCCCCTCATTTTGGCTGCTCGTTGGAAAGGTCCAGATCCCTTCTGTCAAAAGTCCTGTGAGTTGCTCTTTTGTCGTGGGGAGGGTCAGACTGGCAATCAGGGTCTTTACAGCTCCCCCAGGAGTAAGAGAAGCTCCAATGAGGTTCGGGCATTCTGCTCGTGAGCGGGCTGCACGCAGGCCTGGGCATCCTGGCTAGGGACAAAGCACCTGGCATGGACGTGTGTGTGCGTGCGTGCACATGTGACCTTGGTGGAAGCTTCCTGTGTTGTTTCTGAGGAGCTCAGAGACTACAGGCTGCACAGCAAAGCGTTCAAGCATTCCCTGGCCAGAGCTTGCTCTCTCTTTCTCTCTCTCCCCCTGCTGCCCTGCCCTGTTCCCCAGGTCTTCCACATGGTGGAATGGTGTAAACAACCCTGGACTCAGAGCTACCCAGCTGGCCCCTTGGGTCCCACCCCCAGATCTGCTATAAACTTGACCCCAGGACACAAGGAAGGGAAGACACTGACCCCACCCGCCACACAGGTATGAACTAACTGCCAGCAGGTGGCCCTCTCCTCCCTTCTTCCCCGCCTGAAGAGGCCATGTCTGTCACATCTTGCCAGTGGCATGGCCTCAGACAATTATGTTGCCCTGCAGCTTGACTTTCCCACCTGTAAAATGGGCTTAATGATGGGTTACGGAGAGGCTTAAAATAGTCCATGTCTGTGAAAGGGCCTGGATCCAGTAAGTGCCAAATAAATGATGATGATGATGATGATGATGATGATGATAATGATAATGATTTCGGTGGTGATGAAGATTACCCAGAAACTGTTGATTTCCTAACCAAGCACATTCCACCACCACCCTCACCCTACCCCGTGCCCTTCCCCTGGCCCCCAAGGCCTAGATCCAGCCTTGAGACACGGCCCAGCCAGGAGGCCTTTGTGCTCAGGAATGACCACTGCTGCTCTCTAGGGCAGCAGCATGTGGGGGTGAAGTAGGTCAGGTGGGGCAGCCTAAGTCGTGGGAGGGGTTGTGGGCTCTGCCCTCCACAGGGCACAGCCCTGCTTAAGGCTCCCTGCTCCAGCCTGTCTGGCGAGTCTGGAGTGGATGATCCCCGTGGGAACCCAGCCCGCCCACTGAGGCAGAAAGTGGAGGAGAAAACCTAGCCTGGCTTGGCCTTGCTGCTCCAAGAGCCAGTCGTCCATGCAGGGGCTGCACCTGCACCTGCAAGATGGCCAGCCTCCTGGCCCTCCCAGCTCTGGACTTTGTCCTATTTGCCCATGGAAAGAGGCGGGTCCTGGGAGGCTGTGTTTGCTTGCACATTTGACAGGTGATACGCTTCCTGATATACCAGCTGACTCCTGGGCTTGGCTTTTTGACCTGTGACTATCTTATGTTTTAATCTCTGGTCTTAACTTTTGGTTGTTGTTGTTGTTGCTGGGACCAGAGAAAGGGGCGGGACGGGGAGGAAAAAAGCCTTAACTGGGTCACGGGGAAAACTGTGAGGCTACCGTTGGGAGCGTCCTTAGAAGACTTGAGTTTTGAGCCCCTGCTCTGCTTCCTTCTTACTCTGGGATCTGAACCCTGGAAGCCCCTAAACCACTCTGGGATTCAGCATCCTCACCTTGAATGCTGTGGTGCCAACCCCATGCTACCCCACGCCACCCCACCCCATCTCGCAGGATTGTCACAGAAAGGGGTGACACTTGGCAAGACTCGGGGGCCATGGCCGCTGCTAACAGGCCAAGAGAGCACATCCATGACCATGGGCTGGAGGAAGCACACTCAGCTGGGTCCTCCATAAGCATGGCAGCATGCAGAGCCCAAAGGGTCACCCTGTGCACCTTACAGATGTGGGTCCTGGAGGCTCCTGAAGGAACAGCCCATGTCACCCACACCTCTGTATCCCACACCTCTGCCTGCTGCCTGACTTCCCCCACCCCATCCTGCCCCAACCCCCTATAGCATGACGCTTGGCTTCCTGTTATGAAGGAAAAGATCAGCTCCACCAATCCTGGCCGGCATGTTCCTGCTGATGAGATTGACAGATGTAGCCCTCCTCAGGAGAGATTCCAAGTCCAAGCAAAGAGACAACCAGGGCCTTCCCATGGAGGAAGGAGCTGCTCTGATGGGATAGTGCAGAGTGGGCAAGAGCAGTGAACACCCAACACCTTCCCATCTGGCCCCCATGCAGCCAAAGACTCAAGTTGAGGCTGAGCTGTAGCTTCTGATCTCCCCCTCCCCATGGCTCCCTTTCTTGGTGGTGTCTGACCTTCTTAGCAGGCTGCTCAGGACCTGCAGAGCCAGCTTCAAAGGTTCACAAACTCAGATTCATAAGGCCAGAAAAGAGGCCTTTGACATCACCCAGTTCAGTCCCCATCTCTCAGATGAAAACACTGAAGGCCAAAGAAGATAATGACCGTCCACCCTTCTGGGAGTTGTGTACATTCAGCGTGCACACTGGGAGTGGAGAGGGCATTGGTTAGGGCAGTCAGCATTTCCTAATCTGTCTCACATCACGATGCACGTGGAGAAACATATGCATTTGTTCAACAGACAGGTAGACATCTAGGACCAGACACAGACTGGAGAGACTGAGTAAGTAACCCCTGAGGGGTTAGCTCACAGCTCACAGAGCACATTGGTTGGGAAGTGACATTGTGAGAGGGGCACTGAATGACAATCCAGAATATTCCAGGGCCCTCCTGATAGGACCCAGATTCCCAGGCGGGCTGTCAGAAGCCAGTTGCATTCCAGGGCCCAAGGCTAGAGACAGAATGACATGTCAGATCACTCAATGAAGTTTGACTTGAACAAGGCCTAAATCCCAAACCTGTTTCACAGCACTGTGCGACCTTCACCAACTCATTTACCCACTCTGAGCTCCAGTGTCCTCATCTGTAAAACGGCCTACAGGAGGAGCACAATGACGCTTGGGATTCCCACACCCCACATTGGTGGGCTAGTTCAAGTTCTGGCACTTTCACTTCCAAGCCAGCTTCCCACTAATGCATCCTCAAGTGCTTGGGCTCCTGCCACCCACACAGGAGACCCGGCTATTATAAGCATTTGGGGAGTAAACCAGCAGATGGAAGACCTCTCTCTCTAACACTCTACTTTTCAAGTAGATGACATTTTTAATTGTTCATGGACTATCAAGTTTTGCCTAGGAAGAAGGCAGGATCAGTCTGCCAAGCCCTGGTATGTGAGTGAGACATGGGCCAAGGGAACTGTGGGAACACATCATCTTGGACCAGATGACAAGAAGCCCATCCCAACATGATGTGGCTGGAAGGCTTCACAGGAAGGATGTCCTTTGAGATGTGGGACACGGGCTTCTACAGCCTTCCCAAGAAGGTTACCACCAGTAGGAACTTGGAATGGAGGGAGGGCAGAAGGAAAACAGAGGAACCGTGTGTAGGAGGCCACCTAGCAGGTAGGTGTGGCTACATAAGCCCTATCTCACCCTCAGGTCCCAAGCAGAGTCACCAAGCCTCCAGAGGGCAATGACACTAGTCCTCGTCACACAGGAGACAGTGGTGCAGCCGACCTTTGTACTCTGACACTTCAGAGTTACCATTCCACCTGCTTGGAGATTACTTCCTGCCTATACCACATCCTCCCAGGTATGAGCATTACTGGAGCCAAATGTGTGAATGAGGCAATTCCCAAGCTGGTGGGGCAGATCATGAGATTGGAGAGGGGACGAGGCACAGGCACCCACAGCTTAAAAACACATTGACAGCTCAGGTCTCAGTCCC